TACATATTCTCAGGTTAGTGGACTCCAAAACCCAAGAGAACCAAGACAAGCATACCTGGTCTCTAGGTAACACTCTCACAGGTATTCAAAGATTGGTAGTCACAGTTTACTATACCACTTTTTACCTATTCGACTACTGCTCTGGAGAACAATAAGTAAATTTGCCTTAGGTGGATTGAGACATTATGAATTTCCCAAACAAACACAAACCACCTTCTTTCACACTCCCAGACTAACACCATAAGTCCAATACCACCACACCCAGCCAGACATTGTTGAGCTGGCTATTGACAGGTCTTAAAGAGACAGGGCACCAGCAGCCCAGATTCTGACCATTTTGCAGGCAGCCTCACTTCTCACACAACCACAAAACCTTTCGGTGTGTAATGTTGATGTCCCAGACTTCACAGTAGGAAGAATTATGAAGGATTCCTCCATCTCTTATTCCAGAATGTAAGAATTAGATTGGCTTGTTTACAAATATATATATTCCCTAGGATCCTGACTAGTAGACAACCTATTTTTAATGTAAAGGAAATGTATTTCTGGTGTTTCAGAAGCAAATCAGGAAAAAGCCCTGTCTATACGTTTTTACTTAGTGCAGAGTATATTACTCTATACTGCTTTTGACCAAGTGTCTTTATAAGTATTTTACTTATAGATTACATGGGATATGTGTACAAGTTCTAATAAATGAATTTCATTCAGCCAATTATTTTTTTAAAGGAATTGCATTGTTTTTGTCTCTGCTTATCACACAAAAAATATTTCTATTGTTAAGTGTATAACAGCCTTTGTTGACTTGAGTTCACAATTTTCTTTACCTTTGATTGAAGGTTCATTAGGTTCAGCCACTTGCTATCAAGGAAAGGGAATTGGTTGTTTTTTTTGGGGGGGGAGGGGGGGGCTTCTAAAACCAATAAAATAACATTCTTTTGCTCTGCTGTTTTTGCAATTCTGTTTAATGAAATCTCTTACAGGTCTTTATATTGCCCATTCTCTCAGTTTTCTATGCAGATAGGTCCCTGTTTCAGATTAGTTTCACAAAATAAATTGTAAAATAGTCAGAAGAACATGGATAGGTTTTTTGTTCATTATACACTCTGAAACATATATTCAAGCAATGTGGAAATATGTTACTATCCAAGAGATCACCAAGATTGCAACCTCATTATCATGCATTTTTTTTCAAAAAAAAGTCAAAACTCAATCTAGATCATACTTGGCATACACAATATTCATGAACATCTATTTTCTGTATCTATCTGTTTATTATCTTTACCTTGTGCAATTTGCAACAAGCAATCAAAAATAAAGTGAGTTGTTGCCCCAAGCCATTATCTACCATAGAAACAAAATATGCATGTGAAATTAAGACCAAACTCAGATTAAGAGTGGTGCTTCTCATCTGAAATAGGGTCCCCAATATAACCTATATACAGAGAAGACAAAAAGTTTATGGCAAGGGCAATGCCCTATTATAATCAGGGCTCACTTTCCTTGAATAACAGCAACCTGGGCTGATGTCAAACCAAAAAATTACAAGGTCAGTTAATGAAATGAGCTGTTATATAAAGCAACAGAGGAGTTAAAACCCAATTTTGGGGAGAGCTAAAGTACTGGGCTAAAAAGCAAGCCACTATGATTTCTACTTCTCCTTTAAGAATAAATCTTGACTGGGTAAATTTTGGGAGAATTACTAATTTTACAACTGCAGTGATTCACTTAACAACTGTGTTAAGAAAAATCATAAAATGAGGCCAAACTCACTTAACAAATGTCTCACTTAGCAACAGAAGCTTTGGGCTCAATTGAGGTTGTAAGTCGAGGACTACCTGTACTGGTCTGATATGATTTGACCCTAGCTAATACTAGCTGACCTTGGCTGATATCAGAAGCTAAGCAGGGTCAGCCTAAGTTGGAGGGAAGGAGGACCACATGGAATCCATATCCAAGGTTGGTGGCTAGTCAAAACAACACAACAGAAGAAGGCAATGGGAAATGTCATCTTGAATGCTGCCAAAACAACTGCATAAATCGAGCCACTAGCAGTTAAGGCTAATTCAGTGACTAACTTGGTTACCTTTGTTTAACCCCATGACAATAAAGTGTTGAATGGTAAGCCTATAGAATAGAATAGAATAGAATAGAATAGAATAGAATAGAATAGAATAGAATAGAATAGAATAGAATTCTTTATTGGCCAAGCGTGATTAGACACACAAGGAATTTGTCTTGGTGCAAATACTCTCACAGTGTACATAAAAGAAAAGATACATTCATCAAGAGTCAAGAATCATAAGGTACAAAATTAATGATAGTCATAGGGTTCAATAAGCAATCAAATCATACTAGGCAGGGGTGGGATTCAAATTTTTAACAACCGGTTCTATGGGCGTGGCTTAGGTGGTAGGTGTGGCTTGGTGGTCATGTGACTGGGTGGACATAGCTTGGTGGTCATATTATTGGCTGGGTGTGGCCAACTCAATATCACTCACATCGAGGCACGAATCTCCTCGCCTGGCCTCTCATGACTGTGGGGATGCTGCAACAGTCGTAAGTGTGAAAAATGGTCATAAGTCACTTTTTTCAGTGCCATTGTAACTTTGAATGGTCACTTCACACAAGCAAAGTACCAGCAAAGGAGGGGGGAAAAAACTCCAGAGAAGTTCCTGAGACAGGAAATCTAGTCCTGCCAAGAATGTAATAAAGGTTAATGGAGAGGCAGTTTCTGTAAGCAACACCAGAATGTTTCCTTCCTGCCTTCCTTACAGGATTAGGCCAGTAATTTCTTCTAACAACCGGTTCTCTGAACTGCTTAGAATATTAACAACCGGTTCTAGCGAATAGGTGTGAACTGGTAGAATCCCGCCCGATACTAGGAAACAGTCAGCATAAATCGTAAGACTAAAAGCGACAAAGTTACAGTCATACAGTCGCAAGTGGGAGGGGATGGGTGATAAGGAGTGATGAGAAGATTAATAGTAATAGTCGTGCAGACTTTGTAAATACTGGACAGTGTTGACGGAATTATTTGTTTAGCAGAGTGATGGCATTTGGGAAAAAAAACTGTCCTTGTGTCTAGTGGTTCTGGTGTGCAGTGCTCTATAGCATCATTTTGAGAGCAGAGTTGAAACAGTTTATGTCCAGGATGTGAGGGGTCTGTAAATATTTTCACAGCCCTCTTTTTGACTCATGCAGTATACAGGTCCTCGATGGAAGGTAGGTTGATAGTAATTGTTTTTTTCTGCAGTCCTAATTACTCTCTGGAGTCTGTGTCTGTCCTGTTGGGTTGCAGAACCAAACCAGACAGTTATAGAGGTGCAGATGATAGACTCATCTGCAGAACTGTATCAGCAGCTCCTTTGGCAATTTGAGCTTTCTAAGTTGGCACAGAAAGAACATTGTTAAATTAGGCTTACAATATCTGCTTTGCACAACTCTGAACAATTGCTAGATGGCAGCGGCAAAAATACTCTCATGACTTCCATCTAGTAGCCAACTGGATTTTTGTCACAGAACTGGTAGCTCTCAGTGTGAATTTCGGATTTATTTCCAAAGCTCCAGTCCAGCACTCTGCACACACACACACACACACACACACACACACACACACACACACACACACAAGTTCATCAGTCTGGAACCCACATTACGTATCTGATATGATACGTATGAACACAGTTGAGAAAGTCCAGAAATATTTCACAAGAAGAGTTCTCCACTCCTCTACTCATTGCAGAATACCTTATTCCACCAGACTCGAAATTCTAGACCTAGAAAACCTACAACTATGCCACCTTTGGTCCAATCTAAGTATACTATATAAAATCATACATTGCAATGTCCTACCTGTCAATGAATACTTCAGCTTCAACCATAACAATACAAGAGCACACAATAGATACAAACTAAAGGTTAACCGCACCAAACTTGATTGGAGGAATTACGACTTCAGCAACAGAGTGGTCAATGTCTGGAATACTCTACCTGACTCTGTGGTTTCTTCCCCAAACCCCAAATACTTTAACCTTAGACTGTCTACTATTGACCTCACCCCTTTCCTAAGAGGTCTGTAGGGGGCGTGCATAAGCGCACCAATGTGCCTACCGTCCCTGTCCTATTGTTTCTTTCATTTTTTAAATTTTTCTTATATGCATCCATGTATTCATAACTATGTTTTTACTTATAACTATTATCTTGTAAGCAATTGACAAAAATAAATAAATAAATAAATAAATAAATAAATAAATAAATAAATAAATAAATAAATAAATAAATAAATAAATAAATAAATAAATAAATAAATAAAATAAAACAGTTGTATTATCCTTGGGCCTCTGTTTGGTTTCCTTGGGGAGGAAAAGATCTTCCAATTTTTATCGCCCTCTCATCCTAATACCCAGATCAAGGTCATTCATTTCTAATACAGAGCTTTCAAGAAGGGGACGATAAATCAAGTCGGGCAAATTATTTGGCATTAAATTATCCTGCTTCCTAGTGGCTGTGAGAAGAGAGGCAAGCTGGAATGATCCGCTACCAATATGACCTGCTGCAATAAATAAGCAAGATGGCCAGTTTTCAAACTGGGAAAATTACACAGCCTTCAAGAACCATGGAGTTCAATGCCTCATTTTCTTTTTCTTCCTATTTGCCGGCTTCCCTGTATGGAACCAGAGGGGAAACAAAAAACAAAAAAAATCCTGCCTGCAGCCCTTAAAATTGTATTTATCATTCTCTGAAATGTTTACAGTAATTATTGCTTAACTGTGTCTATATAAACCATTTACATTTCTAATAAGTTTGCTGAAAATGATACTTAATTTACCGCCAAGGCACAAGCACTGACACACAGCTAAAAAAATATATAAAAAAATATTGGGATTAATAAAATAGGCATGCATTGTTTGTTTACAGCAGAGAAAAGCAGGAACTTGTCATCTCGAGCAGAGGGAAACCATTACATTTGCTGAAATTCCTTAGACCACGGCAGAAATTACCTTGCAGGTTCTTCTGAACTTCCAATGCAATATCCAGGGCATTAAAAGGCAGAACTGGCTTGCTAGCAATTTGCAAAATTGCTTCTCCTGTCAACTGGAAAGAAAAAGAAAAGAAAAGAAAGAAAAATCAGACACTCAGGTGCGTTCTAACATAATCCACTGGGTATTTTCCACCAAACACTGAGCCCCTAAATAAGTGATGTTCCCATTAAGGCATCTGGACTAGCAGATAAGCACTTCAGCTTTAATGATGGATGCCTCACCTGGAATAGCAATGTAGTTTTGAAGATCAGATTAAATGGCCTGCACAGCTTTACTTTTCAAATGAAGGGAACAGCTGAGGGAAACAAAGGGACCATTTATTTCAATGGGAGAGAAGCATAATGTCCCTGCATCCATGCAGACACCCAAACAAGCAGCACAAAGAATTTCTGGACTATTTAAGCATTATATGTTTGTATGAGATTCTGAAACAGTTGATTAATAGTGCAGGATTTTTTTTCAACCAGTGTTATAATGCTGTTAAATCCCTGTAGGTTACTTAGCTTATAAGGTAAAGGTTCCCCTCACTCATATGTGCTAGTTGTTTCTGGCTCTAGGGGGCGGTGCTCATTTCCTTTACAAAGCCGAAGAGCCAGCGCTGTCTGAAGATGTTTCCGTGGTTGTGTGGCTGGCATGATTAAACAACGAAGGCACACGGAACCAGGGGTGGGATTCAACCGGTGTTACTACCGGCTCAGTGTAATGTTTTGCTGCATGCATGTGTAAAAAAGCAATTAAGCTGTGCCATCCAGACAGCTGAAAAGTGCTGTGCACCCGTGCGTAGCATTTGAAAAGCCTCTTTTTTCCTGCTTTTTCAACCTCAGCTGTGCCATGCAAAGCAGTTGAGATTGAAAAAACAGGACATAAAGGACAGGTAAGAGCCCAGGTGGGCGGGTGGGCCAAACAACAGCAAACATGTTCAGTGTCTGCTGCTCTTCAGAGCTACCAGTTCTATAGAGCCGGGCAGAACCAGTAGCATTCCACCCCTGCACGGAACACTGTTACCTTCCCTCCAAAGTGGTCCCTATTTTTCTACTTGCATTTTTACATGCTTTCGAACTGCTAGGTTGGCCGAACCCAGTGCTAGGGATTTGAACTGCCAATCTCCCAACCTTTCTGATCAACAAGCTCAGCGTCTTAGCCACTGAGCCACCATGTCCCTATACTTAGCTTATATCTATCTTGTTAATTATTCTACATTCTTTTAAAGAAAATGAGTGTCCTTTGGGAGAAATATCAGACTCAAAAAGGTGGTTACCTTCTTATCTCTTTTACTCTTTCCTCAGCTAATTCAAGGTTATTGTGTTAGGATAACAATTAAATGCTCAGCATTTCCTACACATCAAAATTCCTGTATTTGAGAATTTCAAATGTGATACAACTTTAGTTTGCATCATATTTGAAAGGATACCTATTTCTCCTCTCTTGTAGTTGTATGGTTTGTAATTCTTTTGGAATCTTGCTATATGTGTGCTTGTTTCAACTGTCTTTGATTAACATTCTGTACAAGATCTAGTGTATGTCACACTGAGGCACTTGGTCTTGACTTGTTCCAGTTACTGGAGGTCAGTGATTCATTGTGAGCTTGCTTTGGAAACCCAACAAGTGTTTGAATTCTCTCCAGTTGTTGATATTTATTGAGTGATATTTTCTACCAACACAGCTTGGCATAGATAGCAGGATAAGAGAGTCTAGAACTCTACTCTTTAAAGTTACCAGTGGAGATTGTTACTTATTAGCTGGACCATATGTAGAAAGATTGGGTTTGGAACATTTGATATTGAGAGAATGGGAGGTAAAAGATGAGGTCATTTTGATTTTTGAAGTGGGACGCATTGACTGTTCATTAGCAGGGATTCAAAATATGCAGCTTATGTGGAAAGATTGAGAAGAGAAGAGAACATGTCCTCTTGCAAATTCTATTGACAATAGGTAAGCAGTGACATAATATCAAGTATTTTTAACAATGGCACTCTATCTTTGGAACATGTTTTCCTGATCCATATGCTAGTGGCTTTATGAAATTTAGGGATGAGTATCCCAAAGATACTTTTTCAAAAGGCAACTGGACTTTCTTTGTTTTTTCCTGGAAGACATTTTACTTTTCATCCAAGAAGCTTCTTCAGTTCAGTTCCGAAGAAGCTTCTTGGTTGACAAGCAAAACATCTTCAAAGAAAAACGAAGAAAGTCCAATTGCCTTTTAAAGAAGCACTTTGGGGACAACCATGACCTGGATGACTGAGAACCTCCATTGACATTTAGGCATAAGCTAAAACATTTTTTTTGTTGGAGAAAATTGCTTACTTTTATTATTTTAGTAAGAGTTGATTTTGGAAAAGTAGTATGTTCTATCAATTGACTTAATATTTCGTTAATGCTTCCAGAGCTGTTTTTCCCTTTTACTATTACTTATATATACAGAGAGGAGAAAAGATAAAAATAAAAATAAAATGTATAATATACTGGTTTATCCGTAAATAGTACCTATATATAGAATCGTAACTATTTGCAGCCAGAATGATATATCTTTTTCCTTTTCCTTTAGTGTATTTTTTTACTTTTTTAAAAAAGTAAGAGCTATTTTTTTCTTTTCTTTTTTCCCCACAATGTATTTTTTATCTTTGTGAGCTTTCCCCCACATTTCTCTGTCATTATTTTAAAAGCCATAAAAGAATAAATAAAAAAAGAGAAGAAAGTCAGGGAGTGAAGCGTAGAATGTATTCTTTTTTATCTTAAGGTGCTCTGAGGTAACATTAAATATATTTCATGCATACACACTTTCTCACATATTCAACTCATTGCCAGGAGAAAATAAACTAAAACTCATGAGACGTTTCACATTCCTTTGTTTCACATAAACTGATAAAGAACTATCTTTAGAAGATTCACTTTTGCAAATAACTCTGCATTATCTGATCTTAACAAAGGACTAGTTTTTTTAAATAACCTGAAAAGATGCATCTGAAACAATATGGGATAGCAAAGTTGTCTGGAAAGGACAGATTTAAAAATATCTGAAGAAGTCTTTAAAAAAACAGAATAAATGTAGGGCAAGACACACCCTCAGAGTACAGAGGCAAAAAACATTAGAGACTCATCTAAGGGAAGGAATTTCTGAGGATAAGGGTTTTGGCTAAATAACATGGAAGATTAGGGAAAAGGAAGGAAAAAAAAGGTCATCTTCTGTGAAGGAAGTGGGGAAGAAAAGCTTTGCAGAACAAAGTTAATTCCCTCTGGAAGTCAGCTTGAAATTGTAAAAGTAAGAAGTGAGGAAGTGAGAGAGACTGCAGAGTAGAATACTGTAATCTGACTGAATTTTCATACATCATTTGATATAATTTACAAGGTTGTTGAAAAGTTTCTTAAAGGTTGTCCTGAGATTCCAGCCATTGCTTTTACATAATAAATTAACAAGGCTATGATCTTAAACCATTATACACATCAGTTTATGGTTAGGCTAATCCGGACAACAGTCTGCATGGTCTAGTAGATTATGTTTTGGAGCAGAATCAAAGAGACCCAAGTTTAATCCATACTCAACAGAAAAAGTCAATTTCATTCAATCTATCTTATCCCACAGATGGTTATGGGTAAAACTGAAAGAAAGGGTGTTATATAAGATTTCTTGACTTCCTGAATGAAAGACAAGGCATGTGCTTAATAATGAAATAAAAGCTAGACAAAGACGGGCTTTATACTTCAAATTAGTGACCTTTTTTCACTCACATATTAAATATACTTAGAGCATTTATTTTGGGTAAGGTGAATAATAACTGCAACAACTTACATAACATCTACATAATGTAGCAAAGACCACTGTTTTCTCATTTATAGGTTCCAAAGCTAGCCTTTTGAAACATGTTTAGACATATCTTCTGAATGATAAAATGCCCATTCACAATGGTTATATATAAGAATGACTGAATATAAGAAATAATAAATGAATCAGTAAAATCATTTTTCCCTTTAAAACAGGTGACTATCTCATTTATTTCCTGCATGTGTTCATAGGGTGAGCATGTTGCAGATAGAGAATCTATTGTCAGTTGATTGTTCTTTCTTATTTATTTAAATTTCGTTATTCTCTGCTATGTCATCATTCTAACTCCAGGCTGTATTTTTCTTGTTTTTCAGTAATCATATGGAATTACACCCAGCCAAGTGAGTAGAAGACAAGAATAAAAGATTAATGGGACACCTGCACACTAATTAGATGTGGTTATATTGTAAAGGACAAACAAGGAAAATATATAGCTAAATCAATAACAGGAAAAAAAATTGTGGAGGGACTTTTAGTTAGCATTGAAGAAAATGCATTTCTGAAAATCTATTTATAACATTATACAGTCCTTTGATTTCAATTGTTTTTTTAAACAGTATGATTAAATAGCATTATTATTTTTTAAAAAAATATGATTATTACTTTTGATTTGCAAAGCTAGCTTAGCTGGTCAGGATATATTTATATGTTTTAACAGACAATTTAATAAAACATTGCCTCTCACAGAACACATTTTGGGTCAGTAGAGGGCTCTCTGATAAAAGACAAGAATAATTCAAAAGCTATTCTGCTGTAGTAGATAACGTGAAACATAGTAATCCAGTAAAGAAAGACCTTTCTAAGAAAATTGGGATTGATCATTTTAATTTATACTGGTATATAATAGCAGTTCTTTTCCTAATAGGAAAACCTTTCCTTTATTTAATTCATGATTGAGGAATTATTGACCAGGAAATTAAAATATTAATTGACAAACTTCTCTATGCATGAATTGTAAGAAGCACCCCACAATAAGAACTGTTCAAAAAATTAAGTTTTTAGGTTGCTCCTAAAATCATAAACCTACTTCAGAGGCTTTTGAGTGTTATCATGTGACAGCCTTCAGAAATACATGGGATGATAACTTAGCTAAGATAGTTTGAAGATAAGGTCATACATAACAGAAAGAGGGAAGATCTACCTATTTAGCTTTGTTCAGAAATTAGATATCTCCAGAAGGAATTTTAATTTAAATAGGAGGTACAAAGTCAAGAGCATCACTTCATTTCTAA